TATCTCGCTGATCTCAGGCACCGAATCACGCGTGCCAGAATCTCTCGATGGCGCTCGTCCAGAAGGCTGTGGCGGAGTGTCATGATAGTATTTAATATGCTCTTTAAGATGGTGGTGGAAATGTCCGATCAGAATTTAATAAAGTGTAACTTATAGCGCCTCGAAAGTCAAGGAAAAAATGACTTTTTTATTGGTCCCCCTGTAGTTTACTCTCGCTGTGCGTACTCTCGCTGCGCGCCTCTCTGATAACAGTAGGCTGATGGTTCGAATCCCCTAGGTGACCAGATTTTGCATTATTGCTACACATACTTGAGCTAAAAAAGTCGAAAAACTTTGTCTGAAGAAAAGCGCGTCCAGAAGTATCCGAACCTCGTGTACGAGTGAAAGAGTTTTTTTTAAATAGAGGACCTAGTAGTGAACTCTTATAACTTTGTTTTGCCCCATCGGCATATTTCAAGTGCGCAGCGGAAAAGAGCTGCATTCCTGTGGTCCACGCATGAACCTCTTCAGCATTCACCAAACCATTCTGGAAATGGACTCTACGATCCGCAAGACCCCTCCTCCTTTTCGCTGTACAGACACCGACAAGTTAAGCTCAGATACGAATTATAAACAAGTACCTTGTAAATAAGTTCCACGATTATCAATTGCAGAATATCACCAAATTGAGCTACTTGGTCAATACAGCCTATAACACGTAATATTCAGAATATTCAGAAAGGAAAGAAGGAAAAAAGATTTCAAAAAAGTAAAAAAATTAATATGTCAAAGTAAAGGGCTTTTTGGATTATCTCTGCTATAAATCTCCTATAAGTTAGAAGAAAAACAAAACTAGTTATCTGTCACAGCCATACTTCATTATTAAAAAGAGAACTCAGAAAGCATAAAAGGAAACCGATTGAGGAGCGAATAGTGACTTAAATAGTGAGAACTCACCAGATAAATAGTCAAGAGCACGAGCTTGGTCGACATGAAGAAGCATCATGAATGCATTCCGTTTGCATGAAGCATCCTGTTCACCTTCAAGGAAGTTTGACACCAATTCAGGAGCATCAGGAATCAAGAACTCGAAGTTGCCTGCAAAAGCTCATGTCCGCATGCCTCACCTAACGTCGATAAATGTTGTAAGCCCTTAATCAGCGCGATAAATTTCACTTCGTGTCCTAGACTGAGACACGAATAGTTTGGAATAAAATCAAGGACAACTGAGAAATAAAGCTTCAATAAAAGGTTCTGGAAGTCCTAACTACTTTTCATTTCCTATCCTCACGAAGGAGGACGCTCTCAAATAGTATGCATTACCACGCACCTCGTTGGGTTTCGCGCTTCGATAGTATCATAATAATAAAACTACTTGTAGAGCCTTCTCATCGCGGTACTGCCATTATCCAACGAAACGGCTGGCCAGCTAATCATATTAAACGTGTGTGCTACAATGCTACGGCATAAAAGCCATCAAAGCCATCAAGCTGAGAGGATGACAGGGGCCCTGGTAGCGTAACGGATAGCCCATTAGCCCGGAAAGCGTGAGGTGCTGGGTTCGACTTCCCGCCTGGGGCCAACACTCTTGCCCATAACGCAGCATTCCTGTGACACAAGTCAGTGTTTTTGTCCTCCCACCTGAATCTCGTAACAATCTGAACAATGTGCTGTACCGTCCTCTGAGGGTAGAAGGCCTGATTAGCCTCGTCCGTGACCATGCTGGCTTTTGAGGAGCTGACCACTGGACTGTGCGCATGGTGGGGGAGCCATTGACCACCTCCGCCGTTCAATAGTCATTCAAAAAAGAATATTCACTCACGGTAGATAGTGAAGATGGCGCAAACAGCATTTCTACGTACATAAGAGTGACGATGCTCTAGACATCCAATAATCGAAGGCATCAAAGGCTCCAGTAATTCAGGCTCCTTCAGTTTACACAAGAACCTACAAGTAAGTAATGTTACGGCAATAGATCGATGCTAATTGTTGAGAATTTGTGTTCCTTCTCCTAAACAAGTACTAGGCTTAGAAATAGTGGAAACTAGGACCTCTTTGGGCTTCTCTGGTAGTCGCGCTCTGACCTTAAGCCTTGTTAGAGCAAAAGACACAACCGTGGCAGTATGGTTTCGCCCACCCTCCCCCTGTGACTAACTCACGCCCGCACTTACTCTACTCCTGAAAGTGTATTCGAGGGAGAGGGATGTAAGCATTCCTTGCTGGGTGAAAACGCTCGTGTTTCACTCGACATAGCTAGACAAAAACCGCCAGCGGTCAAAATGTAGTCAGCAAACCTAGGGATGTCCACTGGTTATGAGAAAAACCTCTTTTGGTTTACCAGGGAGAAAAATTTACCCCATAAACAATATTTCTAATGAATAAACTAGACGTACACTAACACAGGGGCTCACCTGAGTGTGGACCCACGAACGAATTCGTTGGGATGCTGAAGATCTTTCCTGTAGGCGTCACAAACAAGAATCATTTCTTGGAGAAGTTTCCCTTGAGCATTTGTCTGGAAACAAAAAGATTAATATGTTAATAAATATGAACGGAGAAGAGCATACCTTTGGAACGACCTCCCAAAAGATGAGCAAGGTCTTCTTCAGCGTGTGGTCGCTTGAGGGAAGCAGGAATCGGATGACGTACATTAACATTCCTTGTCCAACTTTCTCGCCATTTTGGATCATATAGATCAACTTTTTCAGCGCATCTGTTTTCTCCTTATCAGTGCCTACAACGATCACATCAAGTAGGAGCGCGTTCATACTTTGCGCCAGCGTTTTGAACGTGTGTAGGCGCTTCGAGCGCCACTAGCGCTTTCAGAGATAATCGACACATGTGCTTTCTTGGCCGTAACGCAGAAAAGGCACGTGGACACTCAAAACGCTGAATCGATACCTTTACTTAACTAGACATGAACATAGACATAGCCGCTCAAAACGCTAAAAGAGCTGAGAGTCCTGACAGACGCTCAAAGCGTTACCACAAAGTATGAACGCCTTTTAAAGGCTAAACAGCGTGAAGAAATCAGAACCCATTCAAAAAGCTCTGACCTTTCTCAAACTTCTCCTTTAGCTGGGCTTCATTGGGGAGGTCAGCATCAGTGGGAACGTGAATGAGAGTATAACAAGGCAACTCTCCCGAACTCATCTGGCTGTGAGTCCTCGTGGACCTGAAATTGGACTTATATTTATATTTCTCTTGAACCGTACGCGTACGGACTTGCAGCGAGGAGGTACGAAAACTTTCGGTTTTTTTCACCGGAATAGAAGCCGCAGACAGGAATATGTATCACTACTTTACTACAGGAAAATAAGAACGTAGGACTTAACAAAGAGGAAAACTTTTTGGCCTTCTATGCAGGAAGAATGACAGCCAGACAGATGAACAGTGAAAGAGGACACTTAGCCCCATTATTCTTCATGAAAACCTACGATTTTGTGGCAAGAAATCTGAAACAATTCCCCGAGATATGTGAAATTTCCGAAGAAATCGTGGTGCTACGTGGAGAGGACCGCTGGATGGGAGTACAAATCAGGCACTTCCATACAGGACCACATTGTCGCCGGCCGCTCCGAAAATTTGATCAGCCTCGTTTGTGCCACGGCCGTCTGCCCCCTCGGCGCTTTGTGTGGGTTTCCTTTTTTAAATATATTCTTAGCGCTTAATGCTGTTTTGTTTTGGGGTTCCTGTTATTTTTTAGCTTCCTCTTTGCGAGCACTCTCCGCATTCGTGAGTGGGGATACCTGTCAAACATTATATAATTTTTGCTATCTTACCTTATCAGATGAGGTTTAACTCCTGAGTATTATGTCTGCCTTTTCCAGAGGGACATGGTTTTCTTCTTGAAGGACATCAAGAGCTAACTGCTGGTTCATTCTCGATCGATACGTATACAATCTTCTGGAACTAGTCGTCGGGCCGCGTTCATACATGATGCAGAAATGCCGAACCACGGAATGTGCAGAACTGCGGAATTTGCAGAAAAAGAAAATATGTCTATCGATTTCAAAAACCGTGGAATATGCAGAAGTGCGGAATTTGCAGAAATGCCGATGGACCCATCGATCCCTATCGCTTCTTTGTCCGCAATTTCTGCAAATTCCGCGGAATTTGCCATTAGTGTTGCGGAATTCTGCAGAATCTGCAGATTCTTGTTTCTCACAATTCCCGCACGGACGGCCGGCAGGAACCAATCCGATCCCTATTCTCTTTCTTTGTCCGTCACATTTCTGCATGTCGGCAAATTCCGCGGAATTTGAAGAAATGCAGTTTTCAGATCGATACGTATATATTTCCTTTCTGCAAATTCCGCAGTTCTGCATATTCCGCATTTCTGCATCATGTATGAACGCGGCCCGCTTTCGACGCTATTCCGGTTACGTTGGATCGTACGTATACTGTCTCCGGGGACTATGTGTTCGGGTTTACGTCGACGGTTGACGAACGCCGTCGCACGTATTGAACGCAGGCTAATGACGAAAGATGATCGGGCTGGGCTTTTTATAAAGCGCTTTCGAGCCACGAAAAATCTACTACTGTAATACTAGCCCGCCACTCGATTACGACGGCGGCGATGCCCGTCCACTACCACGCCCAACGGTCAGTTGTTACGGCCACCTGATACTGTGGCTATTCCGGTACAAGCCCGTTATATTTCGAATGTGAGAGTGGGTTGGTAGAGGAAAAGAGCTGATACCGCTATAATACCACCATGTGAAAACCGTCCAAATGGTTTTTCGAGGTGCACTCGTACATAACGGATCAGCAAGGATCATCAAGGTGAATTGAGGCAGTTACTCCTCCTTTCTCTATTGTCGAGCTAGTTACTCACTGGTCATCAAAACTGAAATTCCGCAACCCACTACTTTTGATCGCGGACGTGCCTTCGATTGTTTTGTAGACCATTTTGAAAATTTTGAATTCCAAAGGTAAGGCCTCGTTTGCAACTGACATGGGAATGGTTTCTTCCCATGGAATTTGGGTGCTAACGTATTTGGGGGGGACCACGCGGCGAGCGGCGAGTGATGACTCATCAGCTCTTCACTCATAGGCATACTTGAAGCGCGAATCTAGCAGCCAAATTAGAATGAAACAAACAAGATTCACCGGGAACTTGCTGGGAAATCCCACAGAAGCTGAAAACAACAAATATTTGATCTTTTATAGTCAAGAATCAACAAAAAGGCAACAATCGTTTGTATTTTAGGCAAAATCTTCCAGCCTACAACTGTTTCTTCGCACTTTTCAGCCTTAACTGTTTTAGCTTTCAAATAGCTAGGACGGTGTTATATCCATGTCTTAAACATGA